ATATTCATGTATGAAATTCTCAAACAATTTGAAAAAAAGGCGTATCAATGACAAGGAATATTTCTCTAGAAATGGCACTGCTTTCTATACAGAGCACGAGTCTGGGATCCTTCTCATGCAGAATGTATCCAGTCCCTGTTTAATCCAGTGAGGCCTTGTAAGTCATTGAACTGTCTCAGATCTTTGTTGTCGCTGAGGCTAAGAGAAAAGGCTTTGTTTCTAGACTTGTTTTCTAGGTGACTGTAGAAAGGCTGCTAAGTAAGAAACAAAAGGTGAAAGTCTGAGGGAAAAGCTGTACTCATACCTAGCACAACTCTCCACACCAACATGCATTACTTTCCTATCCCTAGAAAGGGAACTTGCAAGCGTAACAGATTGATTCTGACATCACCAAGGTATCTGACACTCTCTTCCTGCCTTCATGGGCACCCACACAAAACACACACTTACAAATAAAACTGTTGAAAAATAATTTTATACTTTGTATTTACTGTTTTTATTTTATGTGTATGAAAGCATTGTCTGCATGTGTACATCCATGTCATGCAGTGCCTGCAGAGATCAAAAGAAGCCATAGGATTCCCCTGGAACTGGAACAACAGATGGTTGTTAGCGGCCGTGTTGAGTTCTGGAAATCAAACCCAGGTCTTCTTAAGAGCAGTCATCTCGCCAGTCTCTGAAAAATAATTTTTATGTTAAAAATGTCCACTTCGTTGAGTCTTAACTTGGGACTACACCTTTTAAGTTTTGGGGGACATACCTCTCTAAGCTAGGAGCAGGCATATGCTTTACCTGACCCTCCAGAAGAAAAGTATGGTAGAAATAGAAGAGATTCAGTTTATCGAAGAGCACAATTTACACCTCCCCACAGTTACCCTGACCGCATCAGACTGTGGGCGTGGAGAAGCAGAAAAGGCTCATCTTTCAGGAAAGGCATTCATGCCATTGGCAAAACAGAAGAAAAACCAAGAAGTCGCTGCAAGTGTGGCAGGGGCATGACAGCCTTCAGCTGGCTGCCAGGACTTCTGTGTCCTTGGTGCTCCAAAGCATCCTTGTCCCCAAGACTGACTGCTGGAGGTCCCTGAGGGGCAGGCTGCTTTTCCTTTGAAAAGGAAGCCTTGACTTGGCGACCCAAGAGATAACAAAGAGCTACTGGGGAGAGACCTGCAGCAGGTGGAACAGCCAGCTCAAGGACTTGGGAAGAAACATGGATATAGTTGAGTCTTAGTACAAAGAACGCAGACCAGGAAATGCGAGCTCTTGCCACGCTTTCCAGAGTTTGCACTGTCTGTTGCAGCCTGTGCTGGGCAGTCTATCCAAGAACTGATGGAGTGTACTTAGCAGGACAGCATTGTGCAGTGAGGATGCAGTCGACTTCTTGAGCGTGAAGGAAGTGCCAGGCAGTTGTTAGAATCATTCAGATCCTCATCCATCCCTGGAGGCCTTGTCAGAGAGAAAGAGAAATTTCCTGAGTTCCTTGCTATTTAAAAAAATATTGAAGCAGGGCTTGGCGCACGCTTTTAATCCCAGCACTCGGGAGGCAGAGGCAGGTGGATCTCTGTGAGTTTGAGGCAAGCCTGGCCTCCATAGAGAATCCAGGCCAGCTGTGGCTACAGGGAAACCCTATCTCAAAAAGACAAAAGTTAAAAAAATAAAAATTCAGGGGCTGGAGAGCTGGTTCAGTGGCTGGAGAGTGACTTGCTATGCAAGCAAGAAGACCAGAACCCATATAAAAGCCAGGCACAGCTGCATATGCCTGTAACCCCAGGACTCAGGGATAGAGATAGGCAGACCCAAGAGAGCTTCAGGCTCAGTGAGAGACCTTGTCTCAGAAAAAAATGGAGGAGGTTTCGGTGAGATGGTGCTTGCTACTAAGCCTGATGACCCATGTTCTAGCCCAGGACCCATGTGGTAGACGTAAAGAACTGACTTCTGCGAGTTGTCCTCTGACTTCCACATACATGTATCATGGTAATACACAGACACACACACACACACACACACACACACAGTCAAATGAGACTAGAACAGCATTACTTTTATAGGGCAGGAAATGTAAATTGCAACCCAGACCTATGGATAGTTGCAGAATGAGACGCTTTATAATTTTGATGAGTTCAAGCCAGGCAGAATGGCCTCCTTAGAAACTTGTCAGTTTGGAGGCCTCTGTTCCCTCTTTCCCTCCACCCTCCATGGTCCTTTCCCTCATCCAATTAGACCATCAGTACCTTTCCTCCAGCTCCCGTCACATGTACATGGGCTCTGCTCTCAGCCCTGTTTGCATGTCTTCATCTGCTAAATTAACACCTTTATACTGAATAGGTAATTTATTCTAGTCATACTAGCATGTGACCTCAATGCAGCATTTTCACTTTTAAGCTGTTTTAGTTCTAATTAAGCAATAGGAGGACTGGTTTTTTGTTTTTGTTTTTGTTTTCCCAAGAAATGTACGGTATTATCAGACAAGATGCTGCTGGTAAAGGGAGCCTAGAGGGCTCCTAGAATCAACTTAGCTTCAACTGGCTGGCCCTATGGACCCCTAGACTTACGTGGCAGGGCTGCAAGGATGCTCTTCTCAAGTCTTCTTCTCCGTTGGCTACTGTAAGCCAGGCTAACCCTGATAGAAGATTCCAGAACACCTGACCTAGCCTGTGCCCTAGGTATGTGTTCATATGCCCCATGTCCACCAGCTGCACACCACATACTCCAATGTTTTCTCCAGTACTTGACATCCTGCAATGTGCTTCTCTCTCCTCTTGGTAAATAGAAATGTGTGGTAGACTGTATCATCTTTGAAAGATATATTTATACCATAACTTCTATGCAGGGCCATGACTGAAGAGACAGATGGGGTTCAATCCCCAGCTCTGACACAATAACTAAGTGGCCTTGGGCAAATCTGTATTTGTTTCTGCTTTCTGTGTAGCAGATTAGAAAACTGACCTGATCAAATTGCTCTAAGACTAAAATGAGGTCATGAATCAACAGCTCCCAACTCTGAGCCAGGCATCTTTCTGCATGAGCCATTGACATTAGTTATCACTGATGTGCCAGACACTGTGTGAAGCGCTGGCATGTAGCATGAATCCCACAGATGAGGCATCCGCTCCCATCGAGCCCGTTCTCATCGATCCAGTAGGAAAGATTGGATGTGCTTGAAGGAAAGAGATTATCTGCGATGGCAGAAAGCAATAACAAAGTAATGTTTGATTGGGTGGTCCCAGGTGGCCCTGAAGATGAGCCACCCTGAGGAGGAGCCAGGCCAGTGAGAAACCTGGAGGACAGGCAGCGAGTAGAGGGGACAGAATGAGCAGAGGTGCTGAGGAGGGAAGAGCTGAGGGTGTAGGGAGGAGACACTATCTTCTCAGGGGAAGTAACCAGGCTGCAGATGGCCCAGGCTGGCCCATTAACCTATGGTTCAGATGCACGGGGCTGCAAAGATGGAAGCGCATACTGGAGAGAGTGGTAGCTGCTTATAGAGAGCTGGTAAACTTTTTATCCTTTTGGGGGAGGGGGTGTTTGTGTGTTTGTGTGTGTGTTTGTGTGTGTGCACACATTCATGTGGAGACCAGAGGAGAACTTTGGGCAGTGTTCTTCCAGTGCTATCCACATTGGTGTTTGTTTATTTATTTGTTTTATCTATTTTTATTTAATGTGTATGAATGTTTTGTCTGCATGCATATAAGTGCACTCGTATTGTACAGTGCCCATGGAGGCCAGAAGAGGGCCTCAGATCCCCTGGGACTGGAGTTAACAGACAGCTGTTAGCTGTCATGTGGGTGCTGGGAACTGAACCCAGGTCCTCTGCAAGAACGGCCAGTGTTCTTAACTGCTGAGCCATCTACCCAGCTCTAGAGTTTCTAATATATATTTTTATTTTACATGAATTAGTGTTCAGCCTGCATGCATGTTAAGTGCACCACAGCCATGTAATGCAGAGGTCAGAAGAAAATGTTAGATCTCCTGGAACTGGAGTTATAGATGGTTGTTGACAGCCGTGTGGGTGCTGGGAACCAAACGCAGGTCCTCTGCAAGAGAGTAAGTGTTCTGTCTGGTTAGGGTGCTCAGAGCCTCTGAAAGAAGCTACCCAAAGTCACTGTATTAGTTACTCATTGCTGCAACAAAATACCCAACAAATGCAAGGGAATGAATGAAGGATTTATTTTTCCCTCATAGTTCAAGGTGTGATGACAAGAGCTTGAGGCAGCCAGTGCTCTTAACCACTGAGCTCTCTCCACTCCTTAGTTGTGTTTTGTTTCGTTTTATGTGTGGGGATGGAGGTATATACATACCATGGTACATGTGCAGGTCAGAAGACAACTTGCAGGAGTTAGTTCTTTCCTTCCAGCTTGGGATCCTGGAGATGGAACTCAGGTTTCCAGGCTTGGCAACAAGCACCTTTACCCATTGAGCCAATTTCCATGCTGTTTTGGGGGGACAGGATCTCTCAGTGGCCTGGGGCTCACTGAGTAGGCTAGATTTCCTACCTTCACCTCTCCAACATTGGGATCACAAGTGTGTGCCATATGCCAGGCTTTTCACATGGGTTCTAGGGTTGGACTCAGGTCCTCATGCTTACATGACAAGCACTTTACTAACTGAGCTATCTCCCCACCCAGCTTTGTACAACTTTTATGCTGATAAATGCTCTGAAATCAGGAGAGATTAAGATTGAGAAGACAAAAAAAAACATTTTTTTTTTTTTTTTTTTTTTTTTGCCTGAAGAGTGTCACAGGACCCTCAGCAGGGTATTTTTAGACAGTGATCAAAAAAGGGAAAGCAGATTTTCCCCAGGGCATCAACACAGAAGCACAGGGATGGGGAGGGAGGAGCAGAAGGGCTGTGATGATCACCCCAAGTGTGTAGGACTTTCCTAGTCATTGAGGCCCATGCTCTGTCTTTGGGTAGCATTAAAGGGACTGCTGGTACCAGTGATACCGGGTGCCCCATGGAGAGGCAGGGAACCCACCCTGAATCTCTCTCTCCTCTCGTCCCCATAGGTACGCCATTCTGACCAAAGCCACATGGCCTGTGTGGAGAGGTGAGGAGAAGCAAGGTGTCCTCCATCTGCTGCAGTCTGTCAACATGGACACTGACCAGTTCCAGCTTGGGAAGAGCAAAGTGTTCATCAAAGCCCCAGAGTCTGTGAGTACCTAGCTTCCTTCCTTGCCGCACCTCTGCCGGTTCGCCCCCCCCCATGCCGCTGGCTGACGGTACACTCTCAAAGTCTAAGAGACACATTGCCTACCCTCCTGCCCTCAGAACTGCCACCAACCCAATTCACTTTCTTTATAGCATTCAGCTGTATAGAAAGATATCACCCTTGGGTCTGGAGAGATGGCTCGGTGATTAAGAACACTGGTTGCTCTTGCAGACGACCCAGGTTCGATTCCTGGCACCCACATGGCAGCTAACAACCATCCATAATTCCATTTCAAGAGGATCTGACGCCCTCCTCTGACTTTTGTGCGTATTGCACATCATGGGTGCAATGCAGGCAATGTACTCATACAAATAAAAAATAAAAATAATAAATACAATATTTTTTAATAAATAAAAATATCACCCTTGAAAAAAAGGTATTCTCAGGGCTGGAGAGATGGATGGCTCAGTGGTCAAGAGCACTGACTACTTTTGCAGAGGACCCAGGTTCAAGTCCCAGCACCTACATGGCAGCTAACAACCATCCATAACTCCAGCTCCAGGGGATCTGACCTCTGCCAGCATTGCATAACACTACACGGGTGCACTTACACACATTCAGGCAATACACTCATATATAAAAAATAATGAATATTTTTTTTTTTTAAAGGTATTCTCCCACCGGGTGTGGTGGCACACACTTTTAATCCCAGCACTCAGGAGGCAGAGGTAGGCAGATCTCTGAGCGTTCAAGGCCAGCCTGGTCTACATAGTGAGCCCCAGTCTCCCTTACTGTATCTGCCCCCTCTATATAGTCAGCTGCTGAGGGCAAAAGAAACTACCCAAAGTCACTGCATTAGTCACTTACCTCGTTGCTATAACAAAATACCCAACAAATGCAACTGAAGGAAGGGTTTATTTTTGCTCACAGTTCCAGGGGATACAGTCCCTGTGGCAGGGAAGGTATGATGGCAAGACCTTGAGGAGGCAGAAGGCAATGAATGCTGTGCTCACCTTGCTTGGTTTTTTTTTTTGTTTGTTTTGGTTTTGGTTTTTTGTTTTTTAAGGCAGGGTCTCCCTGTAGCCATAGCTGGGCTGGAACTCACTATGCAGACCAGGCTGGCCTCAAACTCACAGAGTGCCACCTGCCTCTGCCTCCCAAGTGCTTGGATTAAAGGTGTGCACCAGCTGATTTTTCTTTTTTATGTGGTCTTAGACTGAGCCCATGGAATGATAACACTCATATTTAGGGTGGGCCTTCCCATCTCCATTAACCTCTGCTGGATGAGACATACAGACATGCTCAGAGATGGTTCCATGGCCACTCTAAATTCCATGAGGTTGACAAGATTAATAACCATCTCAATTATCCATAGGATCTAAGGTGCTAAGGGACTTAATGTGGGAAAAGGGAGGGACCGGCAACTGTGTCCTTATGTGAGTTACACCAATAAGCCAATTACACATGGGCTCAGGATGGACCTGAGCCCAGGGTGAGAAGTACTTGAACAGAGCCTAGAGGAATAGGAGGAGCTGGGGAAGGGCTCTGAGGGGCAAAGAGACAAAGAATCTGAATCTACAGGACACAAACTGAGGCAGCTTCACATACACATTGACAGTCCATGAATATTTCAGAATTCTCTAGATTAACTCAGAAAGATTTCTTAACTTTCTTGATGCAGGTATGGGCACTGTAGTCTGGAGAATGTATGCATGTGAGCAGGCACACAACAAAGCCCCTTAATAATTAGTTCACTTAGCTCTGGGGCTGTGGAATAAAGACATTGCTTTTTAATTTGGAGAGATTGCTGGTACTGAAATTCAGTACTGTCTTGTTTACTGTTGCTGTGATAAAGTACCCCAACAAAAGCAACATAAGGGGAAAGGGTTTATTTGGCTTATGATTCTAGGTTATAGACATTATGGGAAGTCAAGGCAGGAGCTAGAAGCATCTAGTCTCTTCACATCCACATGAGAGTGGAGAGAAATTAATTAATGCATGCTTAGTGCTCTGCTCACTCTCTCCATTCTTATACAGTTCAGGATCCTCCGACCAGGGAATGGTGCCACCCACAATGGGCAGTTCTTTCCACCTGCAGCATATCAAGATGATTCCCCCACCCAGACATGCCCCCAAGCCAACATGATCTAGGCAATCCCTCATTGAGACTGCCTTCCCAGGTGATTTTAAGTGGGAAGACAGTTAAAACCACCCATCACAGGCATCATCATTTTACAAGACCATTTCAGGAAATAGTGATGAAAAAGCCAGAGGTGTAGCTTGGTTGATTGATCACTTGCTTGGCATGCACAAAGCCCTGAATTCCATCCCCAGCCCACAGAAAATGAGTGTGGTAGCACACACCTGTAATCCCAGCACTCAGGAGGTAGAGGCAGGATCAGAATATCAAGGTCATCCTCAGCTACATAGTGAATTCAAGGCTAGCTTGGGCTACATCAGAGCCTGTTTTTTCTTTTGTTTTGTTTTGTTTTTTAAGAATTAATAGTAAGCCAGGCATGTTGGTACACACCTTTAGTCCCCAGCACAGGGGAGTCAGATGTAGGTGGATCTCTGTGAGTTCAAGACCAGCCTGGTCTACATAGTGAGTTTGAGGCCAGCTGGGGCTTCAGGAAAACCCTGTCTCAAAAAGACCAAAAAAAAAAAAAAAAAAAAAAAAAAAAAGAAGAAGAAGAAGAAGAATTAATAGTGAAATTGGCAGAAGTAGTCAAGAGAACATGGGGAAATAACATGGCCAGTCACAGTGCTGGAAAACACAGGCTGAGCCTGAGATTCACTGATGAAGGCTCTAGTTCAATGGCTTGGCAAACTATGAAGTGGTACACACCAATAGAACCCATCTATGAAGAGTTTGTGGTAGCGGTTCTCCATCCTGAGTTATTTATAACCTCATAGCAATTTCATTTCCAAATATAAAATGAAAATGTGTCATACGCCATTAGACAACCCACGGAACAGTTCCTGTTCTTTCTAAAACAGGCTGGAGTGATTTGTCAGTACAACATCGAACTCTGCCGTCTCATACCACTCCTCCTTTCCAACTTGTGAAATTTTCATGTATAATTAAAATGGCCTCAATAGTTTTCCTACTTTTTAATTCTGTTCAGTTGAGCTTTGGGCATTTATCTCTAAAATTGAGGTTTATTTGGGGTTTTCTTTACTTTGCCTTCCTCACAACAGCTTTTCCACCTCTCAACTCACTCTCCTTTTTCCGTTTCTCTGAACTGCACACACATGTGCACTTGTATGAATGTATGCACATGTATTCACACACACACCATCCATCACCTTATCGCTCCCCTCCCTGACCTCTTTCATCCACGTCTAGCCTAGACTTGGAAATATTTTTCCAAAGACTTTTTTTTAAGATTTTAAATTTTTGTTTTCGTGTATGACTGTTTTGTCTGCATGTATGTAGGTGCACCCATGTCCTATAGTGCACCCAGAGTCCAGACAAGGGTATCAGATCCCATGGAACTGGAGTCATGAATAGTTGTTAGCTACCATGTGGGTGCTAGAAACTGAACTCAGTTCTCTGGAAGAGCAGCTAGCACACTTAACCTCAAAGCCATCTGTTCCTCCCCAAACTTTATTTTTTAAAACCTGCCCTATAATTTTTTTGCCCTAACTTTTGTAGTGAGTTTGCTGAATACAGAAAAATAACCTATCTTCTTCCAAAGCAAGCATTAGATATCAGACACCAAAGAGTTTGTGTTTGATTCTGTGCCTGTGCCTTTGGCTTTTCTCTTCCTCTTTATTCTCAAGTCTTCCTGATGTCTAACCCCTTCAACTTTGCAGAGGGGTGGGAGGGGAAGGCACCTAATACCCAGCTAATCTTTAAAATAATCTCTAGGATGTTGGGAACTGTTGCCCACCTCATCTCTTCTGGTCACTGGTATATTTTCTCTGATCCTGCCAAATTAGCTCTAGAAAAGAAGGAAACTAGCCTTAAACAAAGAGGGAAAAAAGAAAAGAAAAGAGCCAGGCACAGTGGCACATGCCTTTAATCCCAGCATTCATGAGGCAGAAGCAGGCAGGTCTCTGTGAGCTCAAGGCTAGCCTGGTCTATATAGCAAGTTCAGCAAATGTTCTTCCCACAGGTGACCATGGGATCAAGTTTTAAGCATCTGTCTAGGTGCTATGTTATGCGCCCTATTTTAGGTTTAGAAACATGTTCCTTAAGCCAATTGGGTAAAGCACCAAAGGCTCAGTGGCCCTTACTCCTAGAGTTTATTGTTCAAGATATTTCTAGACAGCCAGGCTGTAATAGGGAAATACTGAGTGGCTCCTGAGGCTGGAGAGATGGCTCAGTGGTTAAGAGCACTGGCTACTTTAGAGAGGACCAAGGCTTGGTTCCCAGCATATACATGGTGGCTAACAACCGTCTATAACTCCAGTCCAGTGGATCTGATGCCTTCTTTTGGCCTCCATGGGTAGTGTATGCACATGGTGTACTTACATACATGAAGGCAAAACATTCATACACACAAAATAAAATGTTTAAAATTTTTAAAAGAATGTTGCTCTTACATGTGTGTACACTCAAATGAACACAGACAACATACCCAGATTTCTTCAAACCGATTCTCTTGTTTATTTCTAGAACATTTTTCAGTGACTATATACCATCTTTACTTTGATTTTGTGTTGTTCTGTTTTATTTATTTATTTTTTCTCAAGAGTTATGTGATCAAGTTGACCCAATGCAGATCTAGGGAAGTCTTTTTGTCCTGGAGCAAAGCTTAGCAGAGCCCATGAGACTTTGATTCTCTGTGCAGTCCTACCCACACAGTCTAAGTCTGATGTTCTCATCTGTGACATGGAAAGGTGTGGTTGTTGAGGTGTTGAAGGAAATAAAGTACTGAAGTTTCTGGAAGGACTTGTGACCATAGCGGGTAGCTGACAAACTACAGCTACTTACAGTCTTCATGATTCCCAAGCCTGGCTGAGGGTAGAAAGGGAGCCATCACTATTAACCGTTATCATGGCCTCTCCAGAGCCTGGGTTGTGCCGTGCACAGTGCCAGCCCTCTATGGAGTCCAAGTCTAAACAGTGTATCTCGAGTCCAGCTCTGGTCATTGTGGTTTCTATCCTGTGCCCCAATGACTCCTTGGAAAATGTGGAGGCAGGAAGTCTGGACTTCCATGGAACTGAAAGTAGGGCAGCCCTCTTCCCACAGCAACATGAACTCTGCTCCAGCAGAAGATGGGAGGTTCTATTTCAAGCTGTTCATAGCACCCAACAGCAGCATCAGGTTCCAGCAGCTCATTTGATCAGGCTACCCACCGTTCTATTAGGACCAAGGTGAGGAATAGATCCCAGAGACTAAGAGCAAGGGAAGGCAGAGACCATTATAAACTTATTATAAATCAGATGCGGCCATTTTCCATTTCATTAAGAGAAGAACTATATGGATAAAATAGAGACAGTGGTCATAAAAACATCCCACAGTATTCGTTTTACATATCTGTTCATGAGTAGAAGCTGTTCTCGTGTATTCCTTGAGTACACTGAGCATCCAAGGAAGAACAGAGAGTGGTGCTCAGATGTGGATCGGTTCCTATTCGTCTTCTCTGTCGTTACAGCTGTTTCTTCTAGAAGAGATGAGAGAAAGAAAGTACGATGGGTATGCCCGAGTGATACAGAAAACATGGAGAAAGTTCGTGGCCCGGAAGAAATATGTCCAAATGAGAGAAGAAGGTATGCTAGTAATTTTGTTTCAGCCCTTTAACAATTCTTTCATTTTATTACATTTATTTTTTTGTGCATGCGTGTACATGCACATCCAAGTGTTTGTGCCATGGTATGCATATGAAGACAGCTCACAGAAGTCAGTTCTCTCCTTCTATCATGTCAGTCCTGGGAATTGAACTCAGATCATCAGGCTTGGTTGCAAGCACCTTTACCCATTGAGCCATCTTGCCAGTACCCATTTAACAAATCTTAAGAATAAGCCTGAGGACCAGGAGTTATGGGGCAGCCCTTTAATCCCAGTTAGGAGGCAGAGGCAGGTGGATCTCTGAGTTCGAGACCACCCAGGATTACATAGTGAGACCTTGTCTCAAAAAAAGATTAAGTCTGAGCTTAAGTGAAGTTACAAACTACCTTACTCAGCATAAATCATGTGCTAACTAACCCTGTATCAGGTAGGACTCCTTTGTGTGTTTTCACTCTAAGTATCTGCCTTCTCTTTCTTCCTGGCCCACCCGTCTTCCTTTTCTGTCCCCTTGGGCATCATAGCCTCAGACCTGCTGCTGAACAAAAAGGAGAGGAGAAGAAATAGCATCAACCGGAACTTCATCGGGGACTACATCGGGATGGAGGAACATCCGGAGCTGCAGCAGTTTGTGGGCAAGAGGGAGAAGATTGACTTTGCAGACACGGTCACCAAGTACGACAGGCGGTTCAAGGTACACAGCTCCTTGCCCCTGAGAGTCTCCAACAGATTGCTTATTCAAAAGAAGAGTAGCTGGTGATTTTGCTGTTCTGCAACAAAAGCAGATTGTTCATTAAAGAAAAAGTATAGAAACTCAGATAAGTCAAAAGAAAAATAGCAATCCATGCTAAGAATCACTGAGCATTCTGTGTGTCCTTCAAGACCGTTTTATGCAGGCATATATTTGCATATCTATTTTTGCAAAAAAGAACACATGCATTAAGTGTTCTTTTATGTCCTGGGTTTGGTTGTTTGTGCCAGGAAGATCTTACCATACTAATAGACATTTTCATATAAATTGCTTTATATACCTGCACAGTATTCCGTTTAGTAGATTTTTATGAAGATTTTATTTATTTTTATTTTGCTTGTATGAGTGTTTTGCCTTCGTGTATGTAAGTGTACCACATGTGTGTTTGTGCCTGCCAAGGCCAGAAGAGGGCATCTGATCCCCTGGAACTGAAGTTAAAGGCTGATGCTAGCCACCATGTGTATGCTGGGAACCAAGCCCAGGTCCTCTAGAAGAGTAATAAGTTCTCCTAACCACGGAGCCATCTTTGTAGCCCCTTTCTTTTCTTTTTTTTAAGATTAAAATTTTTTAATTTATTTATTTTAATCATGTGTATATCTATGTGTGTGTATGTTTGTGTTCGTGCACATGAATACAAGCACCGTCTAGACCAGAAGCATTGGACCCCATATAGCTGGAATTACAGGTGGTTGTTAGCCCCCTGACATGGATGTTGGGACTTGAACTCAGGTCCTCTGGAATTTTAAAGAGCACATACTCTTAACCACTAAGCCTTCCCTTCAAATCTTTAAAATTTTTTAGTTACATTTATTTATATAGTGTTTATGTGTGCTTGTATTTTTGTGTAGAGGACAGAGGACAACTTGCAGGAGTCAATTCTCCCCTTTCACCATCTTGGGAGTTGGGGATCAAATTTAGGTCTTCAGATTTGGTGGCAAGTGTCTTGACTAGCTGAGTTCACCAGCCCAATTGTTTGTGTGTGTGTGTGTGTATGTGTGTGTGACAGAATCTTTATTTATTTATTTTTTGAGGGTTTCTGATAATGCTACAGTCTGAACATACAAAGGCTATAAAATGAATTTTTTCCAGAATATTTCAAAGGATGGTGCCAGACTATGATTGTCTGCAAAGCACCCTCACATACTTGTACTGTAGGTTATTTTGTCTCTTAAAGTAATACACCATACATCCATAGTTTTGGCCTGTACTGAAATGGCTGGGCGGGGGGTGGGGGTCTCTAGAGGGTTCTTAGTCTCATTCATAAAAGAATTGAAGAATGGAAGTGGACCCAAATGGCAGAAAGTGGACAGATTTATAGAGACCTACATGACTGTGGCTGGTCAGAAGTTCTGTGGAGTTCTGCATTACAAGGCAGGATTCCAGGCTGGGAAAATTCACTACCTCATTAATGCACCAGCCATCTATTTAGTGTAACTTAAGGTAAACCTGCCTTCCTAGGGTGGTTCTATCACCAGATGATTGACCAGTGAGATTGGAAAGGTGGGTCCTCCAACAGATAGACTAGGGATTTTATAGTCTTGACCAGTTGTACTTATGGGGCTTTTTGCTACTCTGACATTCCCCCCTCTGAAGAGGTAACCCTAAAATCTTTTAGAGATTAGATAAGAGCTCCCAAATACTTTTGACATTTTTGGTCTTTGGAATAGAGTATGTTGCTAAGAGGCCCAAGGACATTGTGACTTTTAGCCAAGAACCTGACTACTTTTCTTTGGGGTCTTTTTACCCTAACTGCCTAGCCAATTCCTACCTCCTATTCTTATCACACCATTCTCTGAAGAGGTTACACCAATTGCCAATAAATAATTGGGACACAGACCGCTCTGGCTTCTTCCATGCTGAACAGGGACGCAGGGTAGGGTAATTGGGGTATCCCTTCAGTGGGTCTATCTAAAAGATCCCCAAATTGCATAACTCTTAACTGTAGGGAGAAAAGAAAGTCCTTAACTGGTGCCTAGGAGATGTGAAGGAGAAGTAAAAGGAAGAGTAGTTAGCATTACAAGTTCTAGACAGGGAACCAGGAAAAAAGTCAGAACAGGGCAAATTTCAAATGTTCATATCAGAGTCCATTGGGATTTCTTGATGAGGGCTTCCAAAAGCATCCCTCTATTGGGTTCCTCCTCATTTTTCTTTTGTCTGCCAAGGCTGGCCTTGAGTGATGAATTCCAAATTTGTTTTCAGGCACTTTGATAGCTGTTGGAGTGGCTAGAATCAGTGTCAGTTCCCTCTCAAAGTCTTCTAGATAGGGGGAGAAAACAAGTTTATCCAGCATTTTAGAACAATAGCTGGTTGTTTCCCTTAGCTACAGGTGGGCACTACAGTATTGGAGACCAAGATTTGAAGTCTTACATCTGAGCAGCACTTTCTTATTAAAAACAAAATCATCAATGAGAAATAATTGTCTAAATAGCATTTTATATGGACTTAAGTCTAGTGTCTGGGAAGTGTAATCCCTTGAACTCTTAAATATACTGATCATTTTAATCTTTGGTTATACTTTCCTTTTGGGTGTTTAAGACCATACAGTTGGCCCAAATAAACCAACTTATTTTTATTCTTAAGGTCATTTGAGGATCTGTTCCTTAGGGTCACATGGGCTTGGGAGGAGCTCCTGGCTCCTTTCTTTTACCAGTTCCATCTATGTGAAGATAAGTCAAAGGTCCTGCTTGACTGTCAGTCCCATTGTTTTTTAAGACAAGGTTTCATGTATCATTTCAGTATATGGGAAAGACAGCCATGAGGCGCATAGACTCATTGCTGAGACCACAAGCATGCAGAACCATGCCCAGTTGTGTGCCACCCCCCAGGGCTATGTGCATAATTGGCAAGCACTCTACCAACTGAGTCACAGCCCCAGCTGTCTTTGTTTTTCTAAACCAACTTCTTTAATTGATCAGGACAAATAATGGGATGAATAACGAATTTAATAAGAAGGATGTTGTTTTGCTAAAAGGGGGTCATTTCTTGCAAACCATAAATAGCACCAGCTGCTGTCTCACAGGTTCTTAGAGCACCTGCACTGCTCAGTATTAAGGTGGTCAGCCACTTATTCTATAGCATGTTTGTTTGATCATTAAGGATTATCATTGAAATGAAAACATATCCTTGGGGGGAACAAGTTTTTGTTTGTTTTTGAGACAGGGTCTCACTGTGTAGACCTGGCTGGCCTGGGACTCAATCACAGATATCCACCTGCCTCTGCCTCCTGTGTTCTGGGATTAGAAGTATATACCATCATGCCCAGCCTCCAGTTTTTAAAAAGCAAATATCAAGGATTCCCAAGAAAGTGTGTACAGATACTAAAAGGATGAATATGTGAGAAACATGTTCATGAGGCCACCATGTATGTTGGCTTACTTGACACCAACCCTTTACCCACCCTGTTATCCTAGTAATGGAATTGCCATTTTGTAAGTTTGAAAAAAAGAAAATCAGCTGTCTTTGTCTTCATGGGTGTCAGGAGCCTTATTTGATGCTGATGCAATGGCCAACCCAGTGAAAGAGATTTGCTACCCAAGGCAGCTGTCCTCTGGCCCTGCAACTGTGGCCCATTGTGTGGACAGCCATCACTCTGACCATGTCTAGTCAGCCTTCTGAAGTCCCTCTCCTCACAGGGTGTCAAGCGAGATCTGCTGCTAACTCCAAAGTGCATGTACTTAATTGGAAGAGAAAAAATCAAGCAAGGCCCAGACAAAGGCCTGGTGAAGGAAGTCCTGAAGCGGAGAATTGAGATGGAGAGGATCCTGTCTGTGTCCCTCAGGTGAGTAGGGAAGGACAGAAGCAGGGTTTCTTTAGCTCCCCTCCACAATCACCTACCATCTGCAGTTCCAAACACATACTTCAGGTAGCACAGCTTTAAAATCATGATGAAGGAAATGGAGTTTTCATTCTTAAAGAAGACCCAGGCCTGGGATGTAACTCAGTTGGTAGAGTGTTTGCCTAGCATGCATGAAGCCCTGAGTTCCATCCCCAGGAGCCCATAAACTGAGTCTATGATGCCCTCCTGTAATTCTAGGACTTGGATGTAGAGACAAGAATATCAGAAGTTCAGGTTCATCCTGGACTATATAGAAGTTCAGGTCCAGCTTGTGATATATGAGACCCTGTCTCTGGATGGATGGATGGATGGATGGATGGATGGATGGATGAAGTGAATGAATGAAATGTATCACAGAAGGGCTGGTGAGATGCTCAGTAGGTAAAGGCACTTGCTGCCAAGCCTGATGACCTGAGTTCAATCAGGAAAAGGAAAGAAACACTCCCACAAGTTGTCCTCTGACCTCCACATACATGCCATGGCTCTTATACGCCATCTCTCTGACATACATGAATTCAAATAATGTTTTAGGCTAGGGTGTGGTGGCGCATGCCTTTAGTCCCAGCACTTGGGAGGCAGAAGCAGGCAGATCCCTGTGAGTTCCAGGCCAGCCTGGTCTATAGAGAGAGTTCCAGGGGCTACAGGGAGACCCTGTCTCAAAAAGACCAAAAAAAAAAAAAAAAAAAAGAAATATATATGAAATATATCAAAGATGACCTGAACAGCATAGTCTCAGGGAGTCTGTTTTTAATATTTTATTTCTTATTTTTATTTTATGTGTATAAGTGTAATACCTGCATGTAGGTAGGTGCACTCTTAAGCAATGCTCACAGACATCAGAAGAGGGTGTCTGAAACAAGTTAAGGATGGTTGTTAGCCACCATGAGGGTGCTGGGAATCGAATCTGGGTCCTCTGCAAAACCAGTCAGTGCTCTTAACCATGAACCATCTCTCCAGCCCCAGTCTCAGGGAGTCTTAACAGGAAAAGAATAAGATTCCAAGAGCAAGTTTGCTATCTGATTGGCTCCTCCAATCAAAGAACTCAGAGTCAGTGTCCCTATAACATTCCAGAAATAAAATTCATCTATGGAACAAATCAATTATCTTACTGGAGGAGAACCAAGGTCCTATCTTTAGCCCATTTACTCTGTTTAAAAACTATCCCATGCCAGGTATAATGGCACAAGCCTTTAATCCCAGCACATGGGAGCAGAGGCAGATGGATCTCTGTGAGTTTGAGACCAGCCTGGTCTCCATAGTGAGTTCCAGGCTAACCAGGGATACACAGTGGGATCCTATCAAAAGCCAGGCAGAGGTATCCAGAAAGGGACATTTCTTTGTGCCTTCCATAGAAGGATTTCCATAATCCACAACCCTGGAGTCTTCCTCGTGTGCCTATCGCCTCCAGGTTCACTAGCATTTAGAAGTGGTGGTAGTCTGTGCAAGTCCTCAGCAGGGCCCTTGCTACTTACCTGCATGCTGGCTGTCTTTTGATATAGATTCCCATGCCTGAGAAGACCCTCTTAAATGCCCATAGGCCAGGAGCACTGTGCCGGATAGCTTCAATGTCAAATAGACACACCTGATTGAGGGAGCCTCAATTGGGGAATTGCCTCCATAGGACAGTCCTTTCCTCCCCAAATTGGTACTGGTCAGAGTATTTTGTCACAGCAATGGAGAAACAAGCTAGAACAGAAATTGGTACCAGAGAGTGGAATATTGCTGTGACAGACCTGACCTTGGTGTTTTTAGGCATATCATGGAAGCATTCAGAAATTTGGGCTGGAAAAGCCATTGAGTGCTTAGAGTTTGTTGCTGTGGAGCTTGGAACAGTTATGCTGAAAGCGTGAAGGCCTGGCTTGTGAAGCTTCAAAGGGAAGCAGAGACTATCCGGCCTGTTTGTGTGATGTTTTGAATTGGGAATCTGTGGGTTCTGGTCGGCTGGGGCTGAAGAATCAGCTGTGATTAAGAAGAGACCAGAACCTGAAGTAAAACCTTTGCTTTACTGGGACAATTGATGCTGGTTAGCTGGGGCTGAAAAATCAGCTGTAAGTAACAAGAGACCAGCATCACTGTGGTGGAGTCTTCTGGGAGGTATTTCCTCAGGGTCAGCATACAAAGGGTACCCGAACCTCCATCTCTAGCTGGAAACAGGACTTAGTAATGTGTAAGAGTCTCCTGCATGATGCTTGTTGAAAGCATGAAGGGGTCACAGAGAGCACCTGAAGCTTGGCACTCTGAGAAGCCAGGAAAGGCCACAGGTGAAAGTGCAACTTCAGTTGCAGTGAAGATCCCAGGACTGAAGGGGTCATGGAGAGAATCTGAGGCTTTGCACCCCAAGAGGCAAGAAGAGGCAATTGGTGAAGGTGTAGGCTCAGTTTGAGTGGAGACCCCAGTTTTTGGAGATGCCGGGACCATGGGATGATCACCAAGGACAGCAGTAGGTGTGGAATGGAGCTGGCCTGGGTCTGTAAGACGAACTGTGTGTGCTGTGGATGGCAGAGTCAGAGAAGTGGAGCTGCCAAAACCCTTAAGAGCCCAGAAGATTGTGAGTGAATCCCAGATGTCAAGACTTGAGCTACTTTGCTGGACTTTGGTTTTGCTTAGGTGTGCCCGATTCTTCCCTTTGAAAGAAGACAGTACTTGTTTTGGATTTTACAGGAGCCCCCAGTTAAGAGACTTAAAAGAGACTACGGACTTTTAACTGTTTGGATTTTTTTAAGGACTGTCGGGCTTTTAAGGCTGTACTGTCTTATATTGTGATATTAAGTTAACGTCATATCTTGGGGATAAGAATTGGAAAGGTTATGGTTAATAGTGATGTGTTTGTGTGTCAAGTTGACAAGGGTTCAGTTGTGCTGGATAGCTTTAGTGTCAATTTGACACACCTGGTTGAGGGAGCCTCGATTGGGGAATTGCCTCCATAGGACTGGCCTGTGGCCATGTCTGAGGGGCATCTTCTTGATAAGTGATGTAGGAGGGCCCAGCCCACTGTGGGTGGTGCCACCCCTGGGCAGGTGGGCCTGTGTTGCATAAGAAAGCAGGCTGAGCAGGCGCCAGGGGAGCAAGCCAGTAAGCAGTGTTCCTCCATGGCCTATCAGATCTCTGGGAGAGGCTGTGGTTGACCATTCTGCTAGAGAGTCCTCATACAGCTGGCTACTCTTGCATCAAAAACTTCCTAACCTGCTAATGTGTTCTGTTTACACTCAGATTTCTTCTTTTTGATGCTACCCACCCCACCCCCCAACTCCTAGCCAATGAGGCTAGAATGTGTCCTGGGAAAACCAGCTTCTTCCTGTTCCTTACAATCTGGAAGTCCATTTCCTTGTGGCCCTTTTCTCAGAGGTTCCTAGCCTACAAGTTTTTCCATCTCTAAGGGGAAAAAAGGAGCCTGTAACTTTTAGTGACGTCTGCACGTGAGGGTCATCGGACCTTACAGTTACCAAGACTAATACTGTTCCCTCGCTTTCTTTACATATTGGATTAGGCCTGAAACTTGATACCAAGTTAGAAAAGCAACGAGGAGGATGACAGAGTGAACAGAATCAAATTGAAAGTAGGAATTAACAGTGGTAGCAGACTACTGAGCTGTGGTGTAGGTGCAGTAGATGTACGGATATCTGAGAACACTTGGATGGTGGTGTAAAGAAGTTGGAACAGTTCTCTTGAACTTCAGAAGAGTTGCAATGTGTTTTCAAGAATGTCTGAGACTTACTGATTAGCTTTTGGCTGATTGATAATCACCGTATAAGTTTTTCCAGTTCAGACCTGATTTCCAAGCCTACTACTAACTCCTATAACTAAAGTCTCTGTGGAAAGTAGCCTCCCAGCCCACTTCAGACAAACCATCCACCCAAAAGCGATTAGGAAGGAGTACAGGAAATGTGCTCAAAACTAAATATTTGATATGAAGGATTTATTGCTCGTTTCTTTAGGTGTGATAATGGTCTTGTGGTTACTTTCATATATAACGAAACTTTATCTTTTAATGGCACATACTGAAATATTTAAGCATAAAATAATACAATATTTATACTTTGCTTTACATTTGATCTTAGAACAAAGACTGAGAAACAATGTGTATTCATTGCTTTAAAATAACCTAGTTTGTGGGGCTGGAGAGATGGCTCAGTGGTTAAGAACACTGGTTGTTCTTGCAGAAGACCCAGGTTCGAATCCCAGCACCCACATGGCAGCTAATAACTGTTCGTAAGTCCAGTTCCAGGGGATCCGACAGCCTCTTCTGTTCTCCACGAGCATTGCACAACACGGGTGCACTTACCTACATGCAGGCAATACATGCATACACATAAAATAAAAATGATAAATAAATATTTAAAATAACCTAGTTTGTGTGTGAAAGTTGGGGAGGAGGTTATGCTATGGATAAACACAAGGGTTCTCTTTTTCCACCATGCAGGTTCTGGGGATAGAACTCAAGGTCATCAGGCTTGGCGCAAGTGTCTTTACCCACTGAGGCACTTCCTTCTACTGATCTACTTTTTTAATGAAAAGGCTTTTCTTTTCCTGATCTCTCAGTAGACATTCAGTTTTGAGGAACCATTTTGTTGTTGTTTCTCCCAATAAATATACTGACTTTTTTTAAGTTTCGTTTGCAAGAAACAAAGGGTCCCAGCAAGTGGAAATGGGGCCAGGGGTTCAGAGAGACTTGAGGACCACAGTTGCTGAAAGAGAAGCCAAGATATTTTGGCTGGGAAAACAAACCTTTCTCTAAGTAAAACTGGGACCAGAACACTAATGCTTTCATTGGAAACTTGGTAAAACTACCAGGAGGAAGTATGCCTACACTGATTGAAAAATCAGATTTTTGAGTCTCTTATCTGTTGGCAGAAGACAGGGCATCTGTTTTGTTATTGTTATTGTTGTTGTTAGTTTGTTTTTTGTTTGGTTTTGTTGCAGTTTCACATGACCATTGAGGAAAC